CGCCGCTTTTGGATGGTCAGCGCAAAGTGCTCAAAAGATTCCACGATAAGAACGAAGGTCGAAGAAGGGAAAAATTGCCAGTGGAGAGACAGGCGGACCTCCTAAGGGTGCGGACCGACACGCAATTCGCATCGAAGGATATGCCCGGCGATCTAGCATGGCCTTCCCTTTGGCGCAGTTGGCGCGGAACGCCCACCGACTATCTAATCACTCGCCGCAGGTCTATACGCGGCGAGTGATTAGATAGCAGAGAGAGCGTTAGTGTTGAAGAGGGCACAGCGATGAGAGTCGCATCAATGCGGAAATCAACGGGCAAGGAAGGGGTCCCATTTCTCGGGTTCTGGGCCGTTTCTCATTTTTTTCTCCCGGCATCCACTAACCACCTCTACCTCGATTCTAAATGGCTGCCTTCTAAATGTGAAGTTCGCCTTTGAACGACTGGAACACATCATTCGTTGCTGATTTTTGTCGTTCACAGCGTTCCTCAGCTACAAAAGTTACCCATCCCGGTACTCCATTGCAGCTCGCGGTTAAAATGTATTACATGGGTGCTGAGCAACAAGCAGAAGAATTGCAAACTCGAGTCGAAGTTCCGGGCAGATATGTCCGCAGTTGAGCACTGGTTTTGCTCGCGGCTTGGTGTTTCGTGCTCACAAAGAAATGTTCATACCTTTTTCGGGACCATGAAACGACCAGATGTAACGCCCTTATTAACGACCGTGGCCGCTGCGTCCCATGCCATACCCTGAATAAGAGAATCGAGAAACTTGATATTCGATTAATTTTATATTTAATTAAATAATTCTCTGCACTAGCCTTAGTCCTTTTGAAGACAAGTGGGTGGATTCTCATAGCCACACCTACAATAAGGCAAAGGAATGGATCCGGGTCACAAGGATCTTTGAGTCTTGCTAACGTTCCAAGCTCTTTCACTAAGGCAGCCCTACGAATACACTCTGTTTGCAAATATGTAGACGTTTTCATCCAAATCCTACAGCCTAAGTCACTGTTTTTCCTTGCATTAAGACTTTCCCATACCACACACACTAACTGACCAAAAAATACAAGGAGCTCGTCTTTCTGTGGCAGATTACCATTATTAATGCTTCCAAAGAGCCAAACTTTCATTCAGGTAATCTCAGGACAGCCACGCGAGCGGTCGCAAAGCGACTGGTCTTGGACACTATCGAAATGTGCCAGCAATTTTTGTTGCTTTCCCCTCTTTTATTTGACTCTTAGCGCACAAACTGTCCAAAGTGTAAGCCATCCCCGTCTGCTAGTTATTTTACCTCTAAAGCTTCAACTGTGGTTATTTTTGTGCCAGAATTACTATAAATCCTGTAAAATTTCAATTGAAATAAAACCTCAATAT